GGACTTGGGAAGACTGTTTGCCCCATGTCGAGTTTGCTTGCAATCATTTTGTGCATTCTAGTACTTTGTATTCACCATTTCAGCTTGTCTATGGTTTTAATCCGCTTACTCCTTTGGATCTAACTCCTTTACCTCGGAGTGAACGTGTAAGCATGGATGGCAAAAAGAAAGCTCAGTTGGTTAAGCAGATGCATGAGAAAGCCAAGAAGAACATCGAGCATAAGACGGAGCTGTAACGGAAGTATGCCAACAAAAGTTGGACCGAGAAAATATTCGAGCCAGGCGATTTGGTGTTGATTTACTTGAGGAAGGAGCGATTTCTGTAAGAGAGAAGATCCAAGTTGCTGTCGAAAGTGGATGGTCCCTTCACCATTTTGGAGAAGATCAACGACAATGCTTATAGAATTGGTCTCCAAGGTAAGTATGCTATTAGTTCCAGTTTTAATGTTCCTGACCTTGTCCCTTTTCTGCCAGATGGAGCAGACTTGAGGACAAGTCCTTTTCAAGAGGGAGGGGGGGATGATGCGATCATAGAACTAGAGGCTGAACCACAGGTCAAAGATTGGAGCAAGGAGCAGGAACCAGACGCGGCCTTGGTTATTCCGGACGGGCCGATGACGAGATCACGCACCAGGAGGTTGGTAGGAGCCGTTCAGAATCTACTTACCGAGTTCAGGAACCAAACCATGGAACCAGCAACAACCGAAGCCGTGACCCTTCTCACATACCAGGGTACTTACTGACTTTGGCCTGGTATAGTTTTTGGTACTCTTTTTCCTTACATCCGGGTTTGTCGAAATGGGTTTACCGGGTGGGGTTTTAACGAGGTCAAAGACTATACCACCACACGGCCGCGGTTCAGTATGTGCTTGGTTCAAGGGTCAGAAGCTCAAGAGTCAGAAGCTCAAGAGTCATTTTCGCTGAAGCAGCTCAAGGGTCAGTCAAAGCTAGGCGAAGAGTCAGTCCAAGTTTTTAGTCAGACTCATTTATTTCTTTTGTAATTTTCTATGCATGACCCTTGGTCTGATCCGCCCCTATATAAGGCGATGAACCCCTCTCATTTTCTCCTATGTTCTTTTTAGAACTTTTTCGATTCTCAGGTGGTTAGCCTAAAATTATTTTCGGTTTATCAAGTTCTTTTCATCGGACTTGACGCAGCCTTTGTCTGCAAAGTTTAAAGTTTCCGTTTGTCGTAATGGGGCTTAAGGATTTTTCGGGAACTTAGTTCTCACGCCTTAACATCCTTTTACCGACGAGTTCTTTTTATCTTTGTTCCACCCCCTTAATTCAAATTGTTCTTCGTGAGATTGGGCCTAAGGATTTTCGGGAGTCTTTCTCTCAATCCATAGCATCTGCTCCAAGAATCGTTCAGAGTCAAGGATTTATCAACCCCTGCCGGTCCAAGTGTGTGAAGTCCTTAGGGAGATCGTATCATCAACCTTCACAAGAATTCCTAACTCCAGCCCTTTGACATTCATTTAAGTATCATGTGGATCATGCTTATGCAAATCATGTGAACTCATTTGGCAGAGGGATAAGGTTATGAGACAAGGATGATCTCATTCAAAGCTTATGGGTTCAATGCAGCTCAAAGGATCACTCAAGAAGGAATAAACTTTAACAGAAGGCTAAGGGTAAAAGGCAACTGATGCATACAAGAGTAGAATCCCATCTACCTAATGCCCCAAGTTGGTCTTTCACCTTAACTCTAAACCCATGAAGAACACACCTAAGCTACCCTTCTCTCAAGGCAATCATTTCCTTGTCAACCCACTTCTCACTTCACTCTCATTCTTTCCTCACCAGGGGATTCATCTTTTCATTTTCAAACTCAGGCTTTGGGGTCTAAACCTTTTACTTAGCTCTTTCTCACATAGCATTGTCTAGCCTCTTTTCTTTTCTCTTTAAACACTTGAGCCTTTTTGGCTTCTTTTCTTTTCTTTTCACTTAAAGGCTAGACTTTAGTTTTCAAAACACAAGAGCTTTCTCTCTTTAAACAACAGACCCCAAACCAATCTCTTTTCTTTTCCATCCCCTGGTTCTCATCTCAAACTCTCTCTTTTTCACTCAGTGTTTCCCAAGATCCCTTCATAGCCTACTCTAGACTCATGATGCAGAGCTAGATCTACATGAAACTTTACTCTTGTTGCCCTAAACCCAACACTATCGATCAATTTTATTCAAAAAAAGGCCTCACATCATCTCTCATTAAAGTGTTTTAGGCTTCAAGGAAGGTTTGGTTCAAGGCAGGGAACTGTCTCAAAATGAGAGAACAGCTATTTGAGCTAGCAAAGATTGGAAAAAAGGGATAAGAGAGCTCAAATATTTTGTGGTACCCATGAGTTCACAATGATATGTACAAACATGATAATTAGATTGTCAAGTTATGGTTTTCACTTTAAACAAGTGTTGGGGTCGGTTTTCACCCCCACGAGCCTAACTGCCTAAAAAGACTAAGTGTCAAAATTAGGTTTCGTGAAGCTCGATTTTACAATTTACTGAAGGAAGAAGCGAACCAGACTAGAAGCGACACAATAAAACCAAGCTGAACCGGACACCATCTCAAACCGAGCCGAACCAGGCATGGTCACGAACCAAGCCGAACCAAGTGCTGGTTTAGCCAAATCGAGCCAAATTGAGCCAAATCAAAGGCTCGATTTAACCGAGTCGAACCAAGGAAGGCGAAGAACCAAACCGAGCCGGTCTCGGTCCAGAAGGTTTACCGCAAACCTGAGCCAAGAAATCACCAGGAAACGAGGAGTGGATGTGGCCGGAAGAGAAGGAGAATAGGGAGCCGAAGGGTCGAAAGCATTAACGGGCCGAACCGGATAATCGTGAAGGCCCGATGGATGAGACCAAGAGATCTTACCTTAGGAGAGATTGAAGTCGTCAGCCGCACAAAAGAAAGGAAAATTTCCGAGAATCTCGGGAGAGAATCTTGGCTAGGCGGTTTATAGACTTAGTATAAATAGTCGATGTAATTCTTGAGATTTTCAGTTAGAAGCTTTAGATCCCTCTTTTTCCTTAACAAATTTTGATTGTGTGAGTTTCGACTCACACAATTTGGCACCGTCTGTGGGGAAATAAAGCTCTCTTACACCAAACAATTTCTTGAACGAGATCCAAAAAGATGTCCGGAGACGAATGGAGAGACGACCAGAACAACAGCGGAGATCCTACCCGAAGCAAGGAGAACCCTCCTCAAATGGATACAGACGCAACAGCCGAACCCTCAGACGAGGTGAAGAAAATGCTCGCAGCAATGATGGAAAAGTTTTACATGCAAGAGAAGCATAACAGCTCTTTCGCGGAGAGACTCAAAGCACTGACAACGGAGAACCGAGCCAGGAATCGATGCCTTGGGGTAACAGGAACTTCCGGAGACGTTCTGCGAAGGTTCGGTTTGCGACCAACCGCTCTCTAGTTTGCGACTCCCGCAAACGGGCTCGGAGGAGCGCAGCAAAATTCGTCTGGATTGGTGACACCCGCGGCGAGGAAGTCAACACTGACTGAACCACCTCTCCTGGCTCGGAGAGGAAGAGCGAATGGTGACAAGCACAACCAGGAGAACAATGGTGATGCCCCAGGGAACATCGGGAAAGAGAGGATCACTGTCGATGATGAAGACGACCAGGAAGAAGAACCTGCCCTTCAGCCGAACCGCGCTTCAGAACGTATTATCCGAGCTGAACTCGAAGAGGCGTTGGAAGGAGCAAAAACGAACAAAGAAGATGACGCCCCGTTCCGGAACCAAGACCTGACAGAGGAAGAGGAAAATCTGCTCTAGGTCGAACAAATGAAACATGATAGCTCGGCACGAAAAGGAAACCAACGCGGTAGTGCACGCCAAACCATTCTAAATGGAGGCGATATCGAAGACGAAATCGACGAGCTGCGAAAGAACAACCAGATGAAAGAGATGAACGAGCTTCGAGCTACTATAGCTCAGATAGCTACCGAAATGAAGGTAGTCTGATCTCAAGTTCATCATGCAATCAGTTCAGCGCCGGAGATAGATCGTATGTTGGAAGAAACGCAGCGTACACCATTCACGGTGCGAATCACCAAAGCTCGGATCCCCGAACCGGGAAAGAAAAGAATTACTTTCGGATCGGAATGGAACGAGCCTTCTCGAGAAACACCCCCAATCTCAGCGAAGAAGAAAGAGATGCCGGTTTCTGTCTCCTCATTGTCGAACACCCGAAGGGCGCATCATTGGAGTGGTTCTCGAGGCTCGAGCGTAACTCCATTAACAACTTTCAGCAGTTTTCTGCCGTTTTTCTGAAACAGTACTCCATGTTCATGGATTATGGACTTTGTCTCAAGGACCAAACGAGCCATTGAGAGCTTACATGGCTTGGTTCAAAGCGGTGGTGTCAAAGGTGGAAGGAGTGAGCGATAAGGCAGCCCTCGAAGCCCTGAAAAGAACACTATGGTATAAGTCCAAGTTCCGAAGGGAAATGGCGTTGAACACGCCGCTCACGATCCAAGATGCCCTACATCGCTCCGCCGACTTCATCGTGAATGAAGAATAGATGAAGAACCTATACAAAAAATACGAGTCGACGAAAGCGGCGATCCGAAATTCTTTGACGATGCGTCAAAGAAATGTGAGAAGCAGTGACTATGTGCACCACACAGGGCCGAGGCTACAAGGAGCCCATAATTATCAAGTGGGAGCAGGACGAGGCAAAGGACCATGGAATATGTGGACTCGGAACCCCTGAACTTGTGACAAAAAGGCATTCTGCAAACACCACCAATGCTACTGGCAGTCAACGGCAAATTGTCGGTTCTTGGAAGCCAGACTCGCCGCAAAGCGAGCATTAGGAGAGCCCGAAGAAATCGCGTCTACAAAAGAGCTCGAAGACGAGAAGCGAAAAGGTGACGAAGTTAACCCCCCAAACCGAGAGCAAGGGAACCGAAGCGAAGCCCAAAAGCGAGGAAGGAGAAATAACGAGGATCCGCGAGATAGCCCCAGAAGAATGATCAATATGATAATGGGTGGATCACAATACTGTTTCGACACCGTATCATCGATTATAGCTTTCCAGCAGAGAGCCGATGCAAGCGCTAACTGGGCAGAGCCTCCGAGCTATCCCGCTACCACATTTTCGTTTTTGGAAGACGAAACCGTGGGAATTGATGCGCCACATAGGGACCACGATGTCACCAGAATACTAATCGATATAGGAAGCTTGGTAGACGTCATCTTCTGCGAAACACTTAGAAGGATGGAAATCGATTTGTCCGAAGTAACTGCTATTCCGAAGCCATTAACAGGATTCTCGGGGGAAACAACGATGACAGTCGGAACAATCAGACTTCCCGTGCAAGCAGGAGGAGTAACGAAAGTGGTGGAGTTTTTCGTAGCTGACCATCCGGCAATTTACAATGTAATCATAGGAACGCCGTGGTTGAACTCGATGCGTCAAGTTCCCGACTCCTGGCGGAATCAAGACCATATGGGGAAATCAAAAAGAGTCTCGTATGTGTTTTTTGGCCGAACACAAGATGAAGAAGCTCGTGGTGGACTCGGTCGCAGACGAAAACAGGAAAAAGCTAAAGACGAACCGAGAACCTGCGAACAAACTCGCCAAGCTCTTATAGCAATTACAGATCGGCGAGGCGCGTGAGAAGAAGAGCGCGCCGAGCTTTGATCTGGTGATCTCGGTATGCATAGACGAATTACATCCGGAGCGGTGCGTAGAGATTGGAGCGACACTCGACGAGGCGATTAAAGCAGAGCTCGTCGCTTTCTTAAAACAGAATGTTGGAACATTTGCATGGACAGCAGAAGACATGTTGGGAATTAGCATCGATGTGGTATGCCATGAGCTCAACGTGGACCCGACGTTCAAACCGCTGAAGCAGAAGAGGAGAAAGCTAGGTCCCGACCAAGCCAAGGCAGTGAACAACAAAGTAGAGAGACTCTTAAATGTGGGTTCGATTTTCGAGGCCAAATACCCAGATTGACTCGCTAATCCCATAATAATGAAGAAGAAAAATGGTAAATGGCGTGTGTGCGTAGATTTTAACGACCTCAATAAGGCGTGCCCAAAAGACAGTTTCCCGCTACCTCATATCGATCGACTAGTCGAAGCCACGGCGGGGAACAAACTGCTCATATTTATGGACGCTTTTTCGAGGTACAACTAGATATTCATGAACCCGGACGACAGGGGAAAACCGCGTTCTTAACAGATCGGGGAATTTACTGCTACAAGGTGATGCCTTTTGGGCTTAAGAATGCGGGCGCGATCTACCAGAGGCTCGTCAACAAAATGTTTGCGGAACAGCTCTGCAAGACGATGGAAGTTTATATTGATGACATGTTGGTTAAGTCACTCGAGGAGAAAGATCACGTGAAGCATTTGCAAGACTGTTTCGAGCTGCTGAACCTGCATAACATGAAGCTGAATCCGGCGAGGTGTCGATTCCCGGTGACGTCTGGTGAGTTCCTTGGATACCTCGTAACTCATCGAGGAATCGAAGCAAATCCGAAGCAAATCAATGTGCTGATAGAAATGGCATCTCCAAGAACAAAACGAGAAGTCCAAAGATTGACAGAATGTGTAGCAGCTCTCAACCGTTTTGTTTCCAGGTCGACCGACAAATGTCTACCTTTCTATGATACTCTTAGGGGCAATAAGAAATTCTATAATACCCTTAGGGGCAATAAGAAATTTGAATGAGACGAACGGTGTGAAAAAGCATTCCAAGATCTGAAAGTCTACTTGGCGAATCCGCCGGTCCTCGCGAAGCCAGTGGAAGGAGAACCGCTGTTCCTATATATCGCTGTGTCATCAACCGCAGTAAGTGGAGTACTGGTCAAAGAAGAGCGGGTAGAGCAAAAACCTGTCTTCTATGTGAGCTGCAGTTTAACCAAGGCGGAGACGTGTTATCCTCAAATGGAGAAGGTCGCCCTAGATGTCGTAATGTTGGCTCGGAAACTGAGACCATACTTTCAGTCGCACTCGATCGTAGTCCTCGCTACTCTGCCACTACGAAGCATCCTGCATAGCCCGAGTCAATCCGGAAGGCTAGCAAAATGGGCGGTGGAGCTAAGTGAATACGATATCGAATACAGGAACTGGTCGTGCGCAAAGTCTCAAGTGTTAGCCGATTTCTTGATCGAACTTCCGACTGAAGGAGTAGAAGAGCCGACCTCTGAGTCTACGTGGATATTGCATGTTGATGGTTCGTCATTGAAGCAGGGCTCGGGGGTAGGGATATGGCTAACATCACCAACTGGCGAGATAATCGAACAGTCATTTGGTCTCACGTTTTATGCATCCAACAACGAGGCAGAATACGAGGCATTAATCGTTGGACTTTGGCTCGTGCTTGGGATCCGGATCTAGAAAATCCGTGCCTTTTGCGATTCACAGCTCGTCCCAAACCAGTTAAATGGAGAATACGAAGCGAGAGATGGCAGGATGGAAGCGTATCTGAAAGTAGTTCAAGAGTTGACAAAGCAGTTCAACGAATTCGAACTTACGCGAATTCGAAAATGCATCCGCCCATGCCCCGGCCGCCCTTGCCTCGACCTCGGATCCAGGATTGAAGAGGGTTATACCGGTGGAGTTTATCGAGAAACCTAGCATCAGCGTCGTAGATGGAGTCAACCTGATCAATCCTCCCGAAGAAGAGCAAGAGATCAACAAAGACAACGGCGTAGCCGACATGGATGTAGATACTTCCCGAGAAACAACAGAATACAGAAGCGACAAAGAATGGATGGGAGCAATTCGGACATATATCGCAGACGGAGAAGTGCCATCAGACAAATGGGCAGCTCGGAAACTCAAAGCTCAAGCAGCTCGTAATATACTCCTAGACGGAAACATCTTCAAGTGGCAATTTTCGGGACCATTGCTAACATGTGTCAAAGGAGCCGAAGCGAGAAAGATCATGGAAGAGGTTCATAGTGGCGCATGCGGCAACCATGCAAGCGGAAGATCTTAAAAAATAAAGATAAAGCGACACGGTTACTACTGGCCGACCATGGTGAAAGACTGCAAGAAGTTCTCCGTCAAGTGTGAAAAATGACAGAGGCACGCCCCAACCATCCATCACCCTACCGAACTGTTATCATTAATCTCGGCTCCTTATCCGTTTATGAGGTGGTCAATGGACATCATCAGACCTTTGCACAAGTCTAAACAGAAACGATTCCGATTGGTTCTGACCGATTATTTTTCCAAGTGGGTCGAAGCCGATTCGTGTGCGAGCATCAAAGACGCCAAAATCGAGCATTTCGTCTGGAAGAATATCATCTGTCGACAAGGGTTCCCTTACGAGATTATTACAGACAACGGATCTCAATTCATCTCGGCTCGGTTTGAAGCTTTTTATGAGAAATGGAAAATGCGATTGAGCAAGTCGACACCAAGATATCCACAAGGAAATTGTCAAGCCGAAGCAGCTAATAAGACGATTCTTGATGGACTGAAGAAACGGCTCGATGCTAGAAAAGGACTCTGGGCGGATGAGTTAGAGGGAGTGTTATGGTCTCACCGAACAACTCCGAGACGAGCTACAGGAGAGACCCCCTTTGCTCTGGTTTACGGAGAGGAGTGCGTTATTCTGCCCGAAGTAGATTTCCCAGGAATTTGCCGAAGACTTCTCCCCGGATAAAAAGGCTTAAATCATCTAATGATGTTAGACGAGCTGGACTTAGTGAACGAACGTCGGGATTAAGGATTGATAAGACTCCAAAATTATCAGCAGGCAACGGCGAGGTATTATAATAAGAATTTCCGAAGTCGACGGTTCCAAAAAAATGACTTGGTACTACGGAAAGTTTTGCAAAACACCGCCACAAAGGAATGCAGGAAAGCTGGGAGCGACTTGGGAAGGACCTTATAAAATCACCAAGGTAGTCCGACCCGGAGTTTATGAGCTAGAAAACAAGGAAGGAGCCCCGATCCCAAGATCCTGGAATGCGATGCATCTGAAGAAATATTATCATTAGGCAGCATTAACCGACAACCCTGAACTACGAGACGGCTTGTTCCCTGAAAAGGGTACGTAGGCAGCCTATCTTCAGATAGGTTCAGCTGTCCCCCCTCCTAAAAAAAGGGGAGGGGGGGGAGGGGGGAGTGGGTACGTATACGTCATACTTCCCTTTATATTTACAAGAATCATTTTACGATTTTCTTCGGATTTCTGTCTATTTAAAAAAAAAAAAATAGATTTGCTACTCATCTGATTTCTTTCGCAACTTAAGTTAATTTTCTTACACATTTTCTTTATAACTATTGCATTTAACATCTTATATCTGCATTTCCTGTCTCGTTGCTGGCCACAACAGATAAGCTAAAACAAATTCTCTAAACGAATTCTAACCACTTCTCCAATATGGACTAAGGTTCAGTGACATCCTTCACTGGATAACAGCACGCTTTATAAATTTTTTGATCGATCCCTCAATAGTTTACGGATGAGTAAGCCGATACACATCACAAATCCTAAACACTTAAACCTGATACACATCGGTTAACGACATCTCGGAATCAACACCGAGCCGTTTTCACAACGCTCTTTATATACTCCGAGCTCTGAGAGTAAAAACTATACGATCGAAAAATCGTAAATAAATGCAAGGATCAAGCAATTCAATAAGTCCTAAACGTCAACCGATATCATCTGCCGTCAAGGCATAAGTCATTCCAAGCACCTCGGCTCGGCAAAAGAAACAAAACCAACAAAACATAGTTAAGAAGTAGCATACAAGGATAAAGCCATCTAGACAACAAAGTCTAAAGCAAAATAAACAGAGGAAGAACAATATGTGATATCCGGCACGGAAATCACTCTCTCGGAGACCTGCCAGAACCCCTTCTCTCTTCAACAAGCTCGGCGACTCGCGGTGTTCCGATGTTGGAACCCGTCGGAGCCAACTAATTGTGCAGCAGTTTCAACCGATTTATTCCCAAGGTTAGCATCAACCGAATCCTCGGAGACAGGACTCAAGTTTAGCTCGCCCCTTAGGCAAGTAGAGATTCTCTCGAACCCCTCGTCGGCTCCCACCAAGTCGGCTCGCCACTGCTTCAGCTTCTCTGCTTCGGCATCAAGAGTTGGGGCATCGTCCTTCTTGAGGAGCTCGATGAGCTGAAGGTTGCCATCAATCTGCACAAGATCCAGCTCGCTTTCCTTCGTGTCGGCCAAATCCTTGAGGCTCTTCTCCGCGCTGCTGAAACGACCTCGCACCTTCTCGGTTAGATCCCTCCGCGCTGATTTCACTGCTCTCTTGACGTTGGCCTTATGAAGAGCGTCTTTTTTGCCAATTGCCTCTGCAAAGAAGCAATGTCGGCGTCCTTTCTAGCTCTCGATTCCTCGAGACGAACAGCCATATCGGTGGCCTTGACGCACTCGTCCTTCAATGTCTTCTTCTCTGCCTCGAGAGCTTTGATCCAAGTTTTAGCCTGGGCCATGGCAGAGGAAAATTTTCGCTCGGCCTCATCTAGCTTTGTCTGAAGCGTGACAGCGTCCTTCCTCGTCTCGTCAATTCGTCGCTGATCTTTGCAAGCATCCGCCTCGTATCCTGCAATCGTCTCGTTTATGGAAGCCAAAAACTGCAAAAAAAAAAAAAAAAAAACACAAGCGTGAAACGCGAGCCGATATTTGAACAAAAAAAGAGAATGTCTAGAGTTTAGAGAACTTACCTTAGTTCCCCGTTGGGACATGCTAGCATAAGACTTCGCCTTCATAAGAGAATCAGCAGGCGGCAGCCGAATTCCCTTGTTGTTAATCTTTGACAAAAGCGACGCCGAGGCAGAAACGTCGTCAATCAGGGAAGAAGTCGGCTCTGCATCAAGCAGAATGGTACACCTCTTCTTTGGCTCGGTTACCCCCTTTCCTTTATCTCCATCCATAGTGGAACGCTTTCGGTTCGAGCCACCCTTATCCTTCAACAACATAGAAGAAGCATGCATCGATTGGCTCGGCAAACCCATGATGATAAAAAGATCCTCACCACCAGCAGCAGGGATCTCGGACGAGGCTGTGGCGCCTTTCCGAATACTTCGGAATGGATCTCGACAACTTTCTTCGGGACAGAAACATTGGCGCGGTTCAATTCGTGAGTTACGAGAGTCTCCTCGGTGTTAATGATCGCTTCGGCGTTCGGCCCGCCAGCAACTGACGCCTTGGGAAGATTCGGCTCGGTACGAACAGTCGATGTCTCCGCTTCCTGGGCTTGGCTCGCTCTCTCCCTCTCGGTTTTTTCCTTCTTGTCTCGAATCGACATTCGAACCATTCTCTCGGTCGTATCAACGGAAGAAGCAGACGAATCGGAACTAACTGGAGCACCGGCGAATAAAGCTCTCGCTTTCTCGACTCTCGCAAACGAAAAGTGCTTTCTCCAGTTCACCTTCCTAGCCGTGAGAATTTCCTTGGCTTGAGCGATATCCTCGGGAACTGGCGGAAGTGGATCGCGAACTGCAAACGTACAAAAAAAACGACAAACGTTATTACCAGAATTACTATGCGAACTGACCAAGAACTATGAGCGAACTACCGAGTGGTCCCCAATCCGTCTTGGTTAAATTAAGGAAATCGTTTCCAATGGTAGCCTCGTCCACGGGAACGTAGAAGAAATAATCATCCCAAGAATCATCCTTGCTCGGAAAACCCCCGATTATTCTCCAGATTCTCTTATTCGAAATGTAATACTTGTCCAGTTTGGAGGATCGGCGAATTTCCAAAACGTTGCGTAGATGGTCGACCCCGATTTCGATGCCGCATTCATAGCCGCGAACCAAAATTCGGATCATATGCCGAAGACCTCGCGGCATGATATGTCCGAGTGAAATCCCGTGTAACCAAAGGTAGCGCAGAATTGGCTTGGGCAAAGGAAACCATAAATAGCACAGCTCGAAAAAACATTCGTAAACCGTGAAGTGGTTTGGCGGTAACAAATTCAACCGCCTCGGAAATCCTTCAACGTTGCCTCAATATTTGCAAGGATTCTTCGGTCAAAAGGGACAAGCCAGGAGGATCTGGTTTCTTCTTCTTTTTGCCTCTCCGAGAGCTCCGAGGTTTCGAAGGACTTATTCCAAGCCTCGCCATCGCAACCTCAAGTTCCATTCTAGATTCAGCCAGATCGAAATCAAAGTCCTCGGGCTCGGGTGTTATGTCGTCAGAAAAATCCTTTGCTTCAGAATCTCGAGGAGAACCGCAAATCGGGCTCGGCGTGAAGTTCGACAGACCTCGGTGCGAAACAGAGTTTACATAATCAGCTGAACCGGTGGAAGTTTCTAGCTCGGCTCAATGTGACATCTCGCTTTTGGCTCGGGTGATAATCAAAGAATGGAGCAAATCCGGAGAATATTGGAGGAGGATCAGGAACTTTGGCGGCGGATCAGACAGTTCTCGAGCAGATCGGAAACATCAAACGATCTTCTGCACCTCGAGAAAACCCTAGTTGGTGCGGCGCAAAAAAAAAGAAGGAAGAAAAAAAAAATCGGGAGACAAAGGGATAGAGGAGAGAATACCTTTTGGAAATTTTGGAGAAGTGAGATTGTGAAAATGGAGGAGGGGAGCTCGCCTATATATAGAAATCTGGGTGTGGATCCCGAAATATTGGGCTTGGAAAGCAAAGCCCAAGCCCGAGTTTCTTTAAACAAAAAAATCGCGACATCATTCAACAACAATAGTTCACCGAGCCGCGCTAACGCCTCGACGAGACAAGTCAGCTCGGCAACTTTAGCCGAAATTTGTTCTCGCCTCGGCAAAATCAATCAGCTCGGCAACTTTAGCCGAAGTTCACTCTCATCTCGGCAAGATTATTCGGCTCGACAACTTTAGCTACGTCGATCTCGCTACGCCTCGGCATCGCGTTTGTTACCCTGGCTCGGCATCGCCTTTAGCTGTCTCGGTTCGGCGTCACTGTTCTTTATCTCGGCTCGGCAACTTTAGTTGCGTTGCTTTCTTTTTTCGGCTTGAGAATTCACTTCGGTAATGTTACGACTATGAGTCGACTAACCTTGGCTCGGCAAAACAGGAGCGGAATTTCTTTTCGGCTCGTTAAATGTATCCTAAGCGCTCGTTTGGCTCGGCAAAAAAAAAGAAGAGAGGAAACAAAAACCGAGCCGAGCCAAAAAACCTCGATAAGGGGATTTACCATGTGATCCGGCAGTTAACCTCGACTTCATTAATCTAACCTCGACATCTTCGTATACAAAACTGACGAGTAGGGGGGCAAACTGTTGGGGTCGGTTTTCACCCCCACGAGCCTAACTGCCTAAAAAAGACTAAGTGTCGAAATTAGGTTTTGGAAAGCTCAATTTTACGATTAACCGAAGGAAGAAGCAAACCAGAACGCAACTGACACAATAAAACCGAGCTGAACTGGCCACCATCTCAAACCGAGCCGAACCAGGCATGGTCACGAACCGAGCCGAACCAAGTGCTGGTTCAGCCAAATCGAGCCAAATCAAAGGCTCGATTTAACCAAGCCGAACCAAGGAAGGCGAAGAACCGAACAGAGCCGGTCTTGGTCCGGAAGGTTTCCCGCGTACCTGAGCCAAGAAATCACCCGGAAACGAGGAGTGTATTGGGCTGAAAGAGAAGGAGAATAGGCCAAGCCGAAGGGTCGAAAGCATTAATGGGCCGAACCGGATAATCTTGAAGGCCCGATGGATAGTCCAAGAGATCTTAACATAGGAGAGATTGAAGTCGTCAGCCGCACAAAAGAAAAGGAAAATTTCCGAGAATCTCGGGAGAGAATCTTGGCTAGGCGGTTTGTAGACTTAGTATAAATAGTTGATGTAATTCTTTCATTATGTAATTTTTACGCAATCAGAGAAACCCTAAGCAATAAAACTACTTTTCGATCTTTGTTCTTGAGATTTTCACTTAGAAGCTTTAGATCCCTCTTTTTCCTTAACAAATTTTGATTGTGCAAGTTTCGACTCACACAACAAGGCTGGAGTTAATCACAACTTGATCCAACTAACACAGAAGCATTGAGACACTAGTTCCAAACATGGTTCACTCTTGATTTCATACCAGTTTTGTAAGCAATAGAGAATTAATAACTAGGGCCATGAATTCAAGATCTTAAGATGATTCTCTCTTAAAGAAACCTATCATTACTCCTATGCAAGTGATGCAACCTATTAGATTATGCAACTAGACTCAATCCTAAAAATGTGAATGCAACTAAAATGAACATTTTTTGTGAAAATTTTTCAGATTTTCCAAATTTTGGTTTTTCTATGCACTTAGATTCAGACTCAAGATGTAAATCAAAATAAGAACAAGAGAAAACATGATTAGTAAACACAAAGCCTCTCCCCCACACTTAAATAACACAGTCCCTTGTGTTATAAAAGCATGAGAAAGAGGAAAAATCAAACATGAAATGCAAAAGATAAAGAAAAATGCTAAATGCTTATTTACAAGTGTTTGGAGTGATACCTGGTGTGGTTCTTATTCAAAGGGGGGGGGGGGTAAGTGGCTGCACCAGGAGAGGCTAGACATCATTGGAGAAGGATTTGGCTTGGCTTGTACTCCTTTTCACTTTGTCCTTGGACCACAGCATCCCTAAGTCACCTTAGACCTGAAAACACTTCACAAAACCCATCAAAACATCCTAAAAACATAAAAAGAAAGAAAAGAAAAGATTAAAAAGATGATATACAAGGATAAGCTTGGGGTGTCTCCCAAGAGCACTTTGGTTTAAGTCACTAAGTTTGACTTTTCATACTCTGTTCTTAGTGAGGGAGAGGAGGAGCTTTGATGCTCCTTGTCTTGTCCATGAATTCAAGCATGAGGTCCTTGTTCATCAGTTCTTGGACACCATCGGATCCCTTGTCCTTGAACTCTTGTGTGAGGATAGCTCTGACTTTGGCAAATAATCTTGATCTTCCATTGCCTTTAACTTTGTATTCCACAGCTCTACCATCAAACTTCAAAGAGGTGAGAGTTAACACTTGAAAATATGACCCAATAGTGAATGGTTTGGTGCTTTTTGGGTTCTTGTATTGAGACCCTGAACCATTGACTTTGTTGCTGCTGATCTGCTTCTCACTTGGTGTAGGAGATAGAGATTCCAAGCAAGCTTCATCACCACTAAAGAAATCCCCTTCAAACTCAAGATCAGATCTTACTAAGGATTCTTTCTTCTTCTCAACAGATGCAAGGGGTTGAGCTTCATCTATATTTCCAATACTCCCCACATACTTCATCTCATAGTGTTTCAACTCCTCAGAATCATCAGATATAACTCCACAAAACCCAGCAAGAGGAGGCTTAAGAGGATAAGATACTTCATCATCTACCTTAGTAAGCACCACTCTTTGAATATCAAAGTCCATCTTAGCTACAGTGGTATTCAGAAAAGGAGTTCCAAGCAAGAGAGGAAGCTCTTTGGTATCTTCATCTTCATTACCACAAAATCAGTTGGAACTATGCATTCACCAATCGTTAGTGGGTAATCTTCAAGGATTCCATATGGCTTCTTTGAGGATGAATCTCCAAAGGTAATTGAGGTGGGGTGATGCTTTATAGTCTTGATCCCAAGTCTCTCCACCATGTCTAGAGACATTACACTGATGCTTCATCCAGAATCACATAAAGCATTATCCACTTGCAAGCTTCCAAGAGAGCATGAGATGGAGAACTTTCCTGGATTACATAGCTTTGGAATAGTTTTGGGTTTCACCCTTGTTGAAACAGTACTAGAGACTATATCAGCTGACTGTGCTTGAATTATTCTCTGATCTCTTCCTTCAGCCATCTCAGAATCATTATTTTTCATATCAAAACAAGCTGCCTCCGCACCTTCTTGCTCAATGTCCTCATTGAGATCACAGAACAGGAACTCAAACTCATCTATGATGGGGTCCTCATCATCTTTTGACTGGCGTTTTTCACTTGAGACATTGCCATGGAGAAGATCCTCAATTTCTTGGAAAGCAGCATGATTCTCATCATTTGAGAGAATTGCATTGCAGTATTTTGTTGGATGTGAAACTGATGTCCCTGGTAAAGATCCTTGAGCTTGAAAACTGCAGTGGCCCTTTTTGTTCTCTAGAGTCTTGACTTTGGAAGCCAAGGTGGAAAGCTGAGTTAGAAGATCAGATTAAGTGCAATCCACCTTGTTGTTAATCTCTTCCATTTTCTTGGTGAAGTCCATGGTACCACTTGCTTGACCTTGGAGGATTTTCTGGAGCAGGTTATGTACTTCTTGATCCTTATTCCTTGAGTTCTGTTGGAGGCTTTGATGTTGGGGAGGGAGAAAACCTTGTTGGTTATTGATTTGAGAGTGAAAGTTCTGGGTGGGGTGATTCTTGTAGTAGTTCAAGCTCTTTTGGTAACCTTGTTAGCCACCTACAAAGTTCACCTCAGTTGTGATGTCTTCCCCTTGAACATTGTTCTGAAACACATGATTCACATCTCTAACAAGGTTGGCTGACTGATGAGAAACTAAGAGAAGTTTGTCTAGCTTCTCATTGAGAGACTTGATGTCTTTCCTTGTCCTTTCCTCTTCAGCACTCACAGCTCCTCTTGAATTTCTGTCAAAGTCAGATCCATAAAGCTCATTACTCTGAACTACATTCTCCACAAGGGTCATGGCATCATTGACTTCCTTGGTCATGAAATTACCATTTGAAGCAGTGTCCAAGAGGAGTCTGACCTTTGGTAAAGCACCTCTGTAGAAGGTACTTAACAGCTGAGAATCTGAGAATCCATGGTGAGGGCATTGCATGGTATACCCTCTAAATCTTTCCCAAGCCTCACAAAAAGATTCATGGTTCTTCTGAATAAAACTTGAGATTTCATTTCTTAA